TGCAGTGCACTCACCATAAAACTTCCTTTGCTAAATGTTTGGAAACCGCAGCCAATCTAATTCAGAAAGCTATGGGCAGGTACAATACAAGCAACCTAAGACCGCTTATACAATTTGCTGTGGCTATTTCTTCTTATAACCCAAAACGTCCTTCAAGGCTGTGCTTGAAGCTCACGTAAGCTTTATCAAATGCACCAAAGTTGTCCATGCGCAATTTAAAACTCTCAGAATTTTCTTGTCAGAATTGTCACTGCTGAAAACTCAGGGTGACAAAGCCACAGGAGGTTATTAAAGTTGACAAAAGTTGTTCTACAAGGCTGAAGTTAGAAATGTAGATTGTCCCATAGAAGTTTGCTGTGGCCCAGGTTAGAACAGACACATTTGGAAGGAAGATGAAAGGGGTCTTTTAGATTAATCTTGTGGTTGAGACCTACATTATATACCCTCTGATCTACCTACCTAGCCTCTTGCAGGCATGTTACAGGGGTGAAATCCAGCAGGTTCTGGAGAACCAGTAGCAAAAATTTTGAGTAATTCGGAGAACCAATAGCGGAAATTTTGAGTAGTTCGGAGAACCGGCAAATGCCACCTCTTGCTTGTCCCAGAGTGGGGAAGAAATGGAAATTTTGCAGTATGCTACCCCTGCCACGCCCACCAAGCCACACCACGCCCACCAAGCCATGCCCACAGAACCGGTAGCAAAAAAAATTGAATTTCAACACTGGCGTGTTAGCTTGTATTTGCAAATCATTCCGTCATTCTGACTCTAGGTAGCAAAGTAAATCAACCATAAAACTAAATAATATGTTAATATGATAAAACATAGTCTCTTCAAGACACCCAAGATCAAAGGCATGCTTAAACAGGGTGGTCTTTAAAGCCTTGTGAAATGCAAAGAAGAACAGGTCCAAATGTATGTTGGGGAAGTAAAGAGTAAAATAATTGAAATGGAAATGGGCTGGTCAGATAACAAGAAAAACTGATGGCAGGTGGACCAAGGCAGTCATAGAAGAGATCCCACTTGATAAAAAGCGTCCACGAAAGAGACCTAAAAGAAAATGGAGCAATGACATGGCCAAGTATTGCAGGCCCAACTGGCAAAGGAAAGCTCAGGACCATACCGGTTGGAAACATACGGAAGAGGCCTTCATCCTACGGTGGATAGACAATGCCTAGAATGATGATGTTGATGATTCCATAAATGGCTATAACTACAGGTAGTCCTCAATTTAAAACCAGTGCAGGTAGTCCTCGATTTATAATGGTTCACTGAGTGACCATTCAAAGTTACAATAGCATTGAAAAATGGTCACATGATCAAAATTCAGCCACTTGGCAACTTACTCATATTTCTGACCATTGCAGAGTCCCCAAGTCATGTGATCGCTTTTTGCGACCTTCTGACAAGCAAAGTCAATGGGAAAGCCAGATTTACATAGCAACTGCATTGCTAACTTAACGACTGCAGTGATCACTTAGCAACTGTGACAAGAAAGGTTGTAAAATGGGGCAAAATTGTGATCATAAGGTGAGGACGACCTTTATAAAGGTCTGCCCTTGGTCCACACCACCTCAAAAGGGGTGGGGCTTTCAGCAGACCTTCTTTAGACTTGTAGATACGTTGATATGTTTTTGTTGTCTAATTCTTAACACTTCAAATCTTGTTTTCAATTTAAAGGCCAGATTTTAGTTTTAAAAATTTACCAATTAAGTAATAAACTAATATATTCTAAGGGAAGTGGACCAAAAAAATACCTCAGAGCACTTGATGCATTTTAGATCATCACTATGTTATCACAATGGAAGTATCATTTTTTAAAAAACCATAAGAGGATAATATGGATATCTTGGTTGGATATTGATCATGTATTTCTTTGCCCTAATTCCAAGGGGTGACGGCTAGCTATGGTTATTAGCGGTTTTGCCAAAAGTATCCTTACCTATTATATGTAATTTGAAAAGTGATGGTACTCATTAAGCCCTATTTAATGCCCATATTAATTGGCAAAACCCTCCGCATTTATAGCAGAGAATAAAGAAATACACTTGATAACCCATCATTGTTAAAAGCTAAGAAGCTCACATGACTAAATCCTGAGGGAGAAATAGGATAATGTGGTTGTATATATTCAGCTTGAAGATATTCCATTTGTTTTGAGAACTATCACTTTTGTGTGTGTGCAGCAAGATTTGTACTTTTGTCTTGTGGACTGCATTCAGAAGGATGAGGAAATTGTTAAGAATTAATTCGGAAATAGATCAGTCTAGTCAGTTACTAAGTCTTTTCATTCTAAACACAAGTTGCTAGCGAAATACTTCTCAGCGGGACAGCTTTCCAAATATTGATACTGCATAAGACCAAAGCTTGAGGTGGCCTAGTTAGAAATGGATAAAGTGAGCATCAAGTCCTTCTGCCACAATTTGTCAAATTTTGAACTGCCGTAGTCCCGCAGCTGCCCTGAAGCACTGCTTCTTTTCTATGTAGAAACAGCCGACAGACTGATATAAATCACTCCAGATTTTCCACCACAACAAACTGATCTTCAATAGCCATGAGGCAGGAACTGAACCATGAAGGCAGAACTCCATAGCAAAGGTGCAGAGAATGCAGGAGGGCCCTTCTGCCAGCAATGGCTCACACACATTTGCTGCTCACTTGAGATCACGATGAGCAACGAAGCATGAGCAAGCAAGCTGCTTGGACATTGACAGAGAAGCGTTTTTTAACCTCCAGTTTTAACCTCCAATTTTTATACGTTGCAACTAATATCAACAAGTTGCTGTTTAGGAAAATTTGTGGGGGGAAATCTGCACGCAATTATTGTGTCATGTCCATAATTCATACCAATGAGTTGATGGACAAATGGCCTCTTGTGCAGAGATACAATGCCATCCTTTTAAGTATCCAAAGTGATAGAAGTTGCCTTTTCCCATAAAAATCAAGGGATATTAAGTGCATTTCTTGAATTCGTGCTTACTGAAAGAGTAGCCTTAGAAGGAAATTGGGCTGAAGCAAGGCCTAAAATCATCTAAAATTTGTCTAGCAGTAACATTCAAATTTAAATGGGTTTATGATTTACAAACACTCTAGTGAACAAGTAGCAAAAAGGAGTTAGTAAACGTATTTATTTACTTATTTATTACATGTATATGGCAATTTATATGAAATAATGAAAGCACGCTTATGTTACATCTTTTGTAATTTAGAGTACTATTGTACATTGAGAATACTATTTCATACTTTCCACACACAAAAAAGCAGCAAAAGACAGTCAACCATGAATACTCTTGCTGAACTTTTAGGTACTGACTACATTAGCCTATGGAGGGAAAGTCATGCTTCGGATGCCAAGAAAGATGCAGCTGCTTTTAGGAGTTGCAGCCAAGTGCTGTGCTCAGGTTCATGCACTATCAAACACTTTTTGGAAACAAAATCTGAAGAACTACACAACCGTTTTATGCATCTGCGGCAAAAGCATACCACCTAAACAGAGGTGGTATTCAGCAGGTTCTGACCAGTTCTGGAGAACTGGTAGCAGAAAGTTTGAGTAGTTCAGAGAACCAGTAAATGCCACCTCTGACTGGCCCCGCTCCCATCTTTTCTCTGCCTCCTGAGTCCCAGCTGATTGGGAGGAAATGGGGATTTTGCAGTAACCTTCCCCGGAGTGCGGAGGGAATGGACATTTTACAATATGTAGCTTTGTGTCTAGCTTTAGATTATGTAGTGAAGATCCTGATGTCCTTGACCTAGAAGAAATGCAGAATTTGCCCAATAGGAAAGTTTCTACTTTGTATCATTATTTCCATAACACTTCTAAGAATATTAAGAACTTCTTAATAAGATTTGGTTTCCTTCAGAAAGAAGTCACTGGAAACATATGTTATTTGATGCATGAGTTTATTTTCAAACACATGAACTTAATTGGAGGCATACATAAACTTTTCAGGAGTCTAATGCAGATTACAGTGAGTGGTAGTTCTGATGGAGTAGAGTTCCCATAATGTGCAGCCAACACCAGAATGAAAAAGTTGCATTCCAAAACATCTGAAGAAATATGCTACTGCAGATGAGGTGGAAAGAGTCTGTTATAATCCGTAAAAATGATAAAGGGACTTGATAGTCTCTGTAGCTGGTTTATTTATCCCATAAAATAATCAAAACTGAGGCTTCCGCTTATGAAAGGAGGCATAGCCCGCTTGACAAATTTTAGAAATGAATATTTTTGGGAATTTTTTAAAAAGGCACTTCTGTTTCACTTAATAGGTTTCAAAACAGTTTGTCGTATCTGCACATCTTTGTTTAGCACTTGGCACATTTTCCTCATTTCAAAAATCTCAGAGACAACAAAAAAGAGCTTACTAAGGCACCTAATATAACAGTGGATTGGATAAGGCTGGATGCATCACAGGTTAGGCAAGCTTGATGGTCTGATCCCCTTCTTTTATGATACTCTAAAGAAGGGGTGGCCCTTTTATGACGTAGACTTCAACTCGCAGGATTCCTAAGCATGGCTGGTTCAGGAATTCTGGGAGTTGAAATCCACAAATCATAAAAGGGCCATCGTTCCCCACCCCTGCTCTAAAGCAATGTTTCTCAAGCTCAGCAACCAGAATCCTAGTTGCACCCTAGAATTGTCCAGCCAGCAGGCCGGAAGTTGGAATCCAGACATATTAAGGTCACTGAGGTTAAAGCCCTAAAATAAACATATATTAAACTTATATATACTCTCCCAAGACACAGAGGCACATACATACCACATTGTTCTTGGATTTGGAATAGATGTTTTTTTTTTCCCACTCTGCCTTGCTTCTTTTTACTATTTCTTAGTCTGACCTTTATTATTATTATTTCCACATCTTTTTCTTCTCCATCCCACAGCAAAAATAAACCTTGGATTTGACTGAATTATCACTTTTCCATCCCCCTTCACGCTCCCTAAATTTGAAAGGTAAAAATGTTGAAACTTCTATACTTTCTCATCCGGGGGGGGGGGGGGGGCTTATGGCTTTGGTTCAGCAACAGCAACCACAGAAGGAAAGGTGTCCGTTGGATCCTCTTGGATCCCATAGTATAAATCATCCTCTTCTGCCTGCTGTAAGGCGCTGCTGCATTCCAGACGACCATGACCTGCTGTTGCCACAATGCCATCCCCTGCTGTAGGAGGAAGAGAGCAATGGCTCTGGCTTGGGGCCACGGTATTTTCATTGCTTTGCCCCTGACCTTCTACTGCCAGGGAATCAATCAAGGCAAAATCTTCATAAGAAGGAAGTTTGAATTGGAGCTGGCTTCCTGTTAGAGGCACGGGATTTGGGGCATCTTTCCATCTCTGTAAAAATGGGCTGTTGGAAGTGGAGTCCAGGGAAGAAGTATCCACTTCCTCTTGAAGAGATGCTAATGGTGCAGCCTTTGGAAACCTCTTAGATGGGCTGGAAGGAGGAGGAGCGAGGGGGGGGGGAAGAAAAGGATTAAATGAAGGACATTCCTTCTAAGGCTGTTTGCAGAACTGTTTTGGGTTTCAACTGAGTTTACAGTAAATGAAGCAATGTGGATGTTAAACTTGTACCAGGTTATCAGTCCAGTGACTAATTTCCTTGTTATGAATTTGGTTTCCAGGGCTAGATTTTATTACTGACCAACCAGGTCTAACATCTAACATCAACATCTTAATAAAAGAATGGGAGGAAAACTCGGCAATATATTGACTATGTTGGCTTTTAAAGATGGAAACCAGACTGCTCCTATTTTATTCAACAACCTTTTTTTTTTTACAAATTTCCTTTAACTAAGGATCAAAACATGATTTGATAATTCATCAGTTTTACACAATATAAATTAGCACTGCCAGATCTCAGCTACATAAATCTGGACAACCCCTACATTGTAGTTAAACAGTAAAGGGTTTCTGTATCGCCTTGCTTCTATCTATGAGTCTTTTAGATTTTTGCAGTCCAAATCCAATTGTCCTAATATAAACTAATTCAGGGACAGTTCATATATGTTACTCACCAGTTCAGTCCTATTGTGGCATCTCTGTTAGGGCTCCCATTACTCTCTGAGGCCCTGTGTACCTCTGCTTTGGCATGTACATAAGGTTGGAGATGTCTTCCTGTCCTGACCAGTGGCACTGGGACCGGCAAAGTTCCCACGCATTCTGCAGAACTGTTTGTCTGGATCTGTTCATAAGTCGGCAGGCTTTTCTCATATATGTCAGCTTCTTTCTGGCTTGTGTATTGCGTTTGCAAACTGTGGAAAAATTAGGATAAAATTCATTTCCATCCATCCATGAATTTATTTTCAAGATCATTAATCCCTGGACATAAAGATGGTCCCCTCTCCTAATAGTATTAACATGACTTTGATCTTTGGGAGATCCTATGGAGAATATTGTCCCAAAGAAATAACATCATGCATTGATGGGGATATTGAAATCATAATAATTTATTCTATTGTATTTTATCTCTCCACAAGAAACTGATCAGACAGAACTGAAACTAACAAGAAGTGATGTACTGATTGAGATTAGACTACAAATAGGGCATACAAGGTTTTATTCTACTGTCAGCCATAGAACTCACTGGTTATCTTTGGCCAGTTCAGAGGTGGGTATTCAGCAGGTTCTGACCGGTTCTGGAGAACCGGTAGTGGAAATTTTGAGTAGTTCGGAGAACAGGTAAATACCACTGACTGGCCCCATCCCCATTGATTCTCTGCCTCCCGAGTCCCAGCTGATCAGGAAGAAATGAGGATTTTGCAGTAACCTTTCCCTGGAGCAGGGAGGGAATGGGGATTTTGCAGTATCCTTCCCCTGCCACGCTCACCAAGTCATGCCAGCCACGTCACACCCACTAAGCCACATCCGCAGAACCAGTAGTAAAAAAATTTGAATCCCACCACTGGGCCAGTTGGTCTTTCATAGACCAACATAACCCATTGGATGGTTATCGTAGACACAAATCTGAGGAAAAGGTGCTACATTGCTGGTTTAAGTTTGTGGAGGAAAGACACAATATCTAATCTAACAAATAAGGAAGGAAGAAAAGATGAACAGCTAAAATTAATTAGAGCATTGGCAACTGAACAGGAGGAAGATATAGGAGGAGGTATCTTGTGCCCTTGAAGTGTTTAAAAAGAAATGATTATTTTTTTCAAACTAACTGAGACATACAGGAAAGGAATAATCTGTTGAAATCATTATCACATTTTTCTTCTTTCACACTTATGAGGTATGTGATTGCTGCTCCCTTTGTTAGCAGAGCAGGTTATCTGGGCTTATCAGTGCTTACCAAGGAATTCTAGGAACTGAAGTCCACAAGTCATAAAAGGGCCCAGATAGCTCTTAAATCAGGGGATGCCCTCAAATGAACCGTCCTCCTATGAAAGCTTTGCTAAGAGGGGGCTGCTCCAGGTTCAGTAGGCTAGAGGATCACGCTAATGTCCTTGAGATATGCCCCCTTGCCAGTGGTGTGCTCAGGGGAGAGCCATAACACACCACCTTTGTACATGTATTGATTTCATACACCCATAGAAAGGAATAGGATTTCAATAAGACATTTGTGAATTCTACTTGGACTTTTTTGCCTCTCTCCCTGAAGATGCCCTCTGGCTCTTCCCATTAAATGAAAAATTGTTCCTTGAAGATGTTGACCAGTTTGAATATTTTGAGTCAATATTTTGCAGTTCAGAGCAGGCCACGTTTTCCCAGTTGGAATCCAAACCCTTGTTAATTCGGTAAACTGTGCTAGCAGCAAGAATGAACCAAACTTAAACTGTGGTGCATCTTTGCCAGAGTTAGAATGGCTGCACCAAAGGGGGTACTGTTCTCTAGCTCATAACTCCGCAAGCAACCATGTTTTATGAAAAGCCTTCTTTGTTAAGAGGCCTTAATTAAGAAAGACTGACTTAAACTAATTCACAGCAAATGACATTCAGATCTTAAATCAAGAAAACAATTCTTAACAGAATTCATAAAAATGAATCACATGGCCCTAGTTTCTGCCATCCTTTACAATGCTGAGGAATACCAATTTCAGAAAAGTGAATCTTCTGCTTGACTTGGATGGAGACTCCCAAGTTTTATAGTTTTCTCTATGGGACTTATACTTTTCTATGGGATTTATAATTTTCTCTTTGGGAATCTTCTCAATGGGGTGTATAATCTTTCTTATCCTTAACACATTACAGACACATGAAGGCAAAAGATATTTTGTTCAGAATGCCAAGTGCATTCTTTACTCAGTTTATATCCTGAACATTTACCAGGGCTAGTTAAATACTAAGAGGAAGCTGAAAGTTAGAACCTCAAGATTATTTTTTAGTTTCTAGCAGGTGAAAATCTAATGTAATTTCATGAGTTTGTTTTAAAAGAGTAATAGTTTTTGAGATGCCCTTCATTTTTTTCTTACAGATGGTAATGGTGAGTTTAATTTTTTTAATCAACAGATGTGATATTTAATGCCATTTGCTGTCCCATGCCAGTGTTTCTTATCCTTGACCTTGTTCTCCTGAGGAACATAGCCTCTAGCATCTACTGGCTAGCACTCTAATTAAAATGTAGATTGCAGACTATTGAGTTGAAGCCTGGTGGTTTGCCCTCTTCATAAGAATACCTTTTCTTCTCAGGAATCTTATTTTCAATTGATGATGAGGCAGCCAACTTCTTCACAAGGAACTTTTCAGACTCAGAGTTCTTTATAAGAAACTTCTCGGACTCCGAGTCAATGGAAACAACTCTGATCTAGAGGAAAAGTTAGAGAAAATGGCTCAAGTGATCCATTTGTGTTTTGTGTAAATATGCAAACAGCAGCATAATTCCACTAGTTATCACTTCAACAAGCCTTAGAAATTTGAATTGTTGAGTACGTGTAAAGGACGATACAACTGCAGAAAGCCAATTGAATCTCCTATTGTACAGTCTCCTGCCCAGCTTCTCTTTAGTTATTTATTACATTATTACATTACTATTACATTATTATTATTACATTATTAGATGGAGGTGTGCTTAGACGCTGCGGCTTTGAGCTCCTGGTAGCCAACTTTGTTGTATTTATTTTGTACAATGACAATGAAGAGTATACTTACTTATACAGGGCGGGGCATAACCTTTTCCTAGGGGGTCACAGCAACACTTGTAATAACAACACAAATAATTCATACACCATTCGAAAGCCCATCAAAAACTGAGTTTATTGACACGATTTAATAGTCAGTATGACCACCATTAGCCCTTCGAACAGCATTCAAACGAGGTGGATAAGAACACAACAAATCTTCAAACAGTTCCGTTCGATTTTCAGGGCAGGGCATAACCTTTTCCTAGGGGGTCACAGCAAGATCGACAGCAGTTTACAACTTCCGCGACACCTCATTTTAAAGCCCATAAAAAACTGAATTGAATGAGCTATTAAATGTTAAATTTGTTTCGGTTGAAACTTTGAGAATGAATTTGGAAACTGTGTTGAAAAATCTGGAAAATCGAACGGAACTGTTTGAAGATTTGTTGTGTTCTTATCCACCTCGTTTGAATGCTGTTCGAAGGGCTAATGGTGGTCATACTGACTATTAAATCGTGTCAATAAACTCAGTTTTTGATGGGCTTTCGAATGGTGTATGAATTATTTGTGTTGTTATTACAAGTGTTGCTGTGACCCCCTAGGAAAAGGTTATGCCCCGCCCTGTACTTCACTTCCTTTCTAGGGAGGCAATAATGTAATAAGCAAATAATGTAATAAGCAAATAATGTGATAAGCAAATAATGTGATAAGCAAATAATGTAATAAGCAACTTGATGTCCACAATAATATAATTGTGTCCATAATAATGTAATTGTTCCCACCATAATGCCATTCACAATATGGTGTCCATGAAACAAATGTGGCTCTAAGCACCCTCCTTGGTGCCAATCTTGTTTGCTCTCACACCTGATTTTTAAAAATAGTTTATTTCAATAAAAAATAATAACAGGAAGTTGGAGTGTACCAATCTCTTTGTAGGAATGCTTTTGGGTCCCACCAGATCTGAATGATCCTGTTCCCACGACACCCTTAATTGAGCCAATGGAAAGTAACATTGTTGGAACACCATAAAGGAATTAACTAACCTAATCAAATAACCTGCAGGCAGTTAAATTTTATCTCAACCATTCAAAGGATTAAATTAACTCCATCCAACCAGTTGCATAATTCCTAAATAAATACCTAAACCCATTGTTAATTTCTTCCCAACAAAAAGAGTTAGGGAGAAAAAGCAGCTGAAAAGCAAATAGAAATTTGAGATTGAATTCAGAAAATAGAAACCTGGTACCACATAACCCATGCTAATCTTCTCCTCCTGCTACCTATCTAGGGCCTTGCCAATGAAGAAGTAGGCTAGTTATGTTCATGTAGCCATGTCAATAAACTCTTGATCCAAGACTCATGAGATGTCAAGCTCTTTCTGGTGAAAAGAGATCATGTCAGCACATATAACCATTATACTGCCTTAGGATTCCTACTTTTGCTCCATGTGTACCTGCCCTGAGAATGAAGATATAAGTAAAAATTAGAGTTGCAAGAATTGCCATACATTCTCCATCTAGTTTGAGTTCAAAGGAAAAGAGCAAGTTCAAGGGTCAGAAACGATGTTGAGAAAGGTTCCATCACTACCAGCCATTGGCCACAGAAGAGTTTTAATTAGTTTGTATTTGTCAACATTTCCTTCCTTCCTTCCTTCCTTCCTTCCTTCCTTCCTTCCTTCCTTCCTTCCTTCCACAGTTTCAATCAGATTAACAGATTCACACATGTACAACACACATTTCATTGGCAAAATCAATATTATGCAGAATTTCAATCTCAATAATAGTTAATTAGACAGCTCATCCTGAACAATTCTCTACTCCTAATCTCTAGCTATCTCTTCAGTTATGTAACGGTTAAACACAGCTTTGAATTGTCTATGGAGATCCTCAGTCATCCAGGTGATGGTTGTCTCAATGGTGCTTTTTCAAGAGGCAACTGGACTTTCTGGCTTTTCTTTGAAGATGTTTCGCTTCTCATCCAAGAAACTTCTTCAGTTTGGATCTAAAGAAGCTTGTTGGATAAGAAGTAAAACATCTACAAAGAAAAACCAGAAAGTCCAGTTGCCTCTTGAAAAAGCACCATTGGAACAGCTTCCTTTTGCGAAACGGCAGGCTGGAAATGCAATACTGTATGTATAGAGTTTTGTTATCATTGTTGTTAAGGAATATATCCAGAAGCATCAGTCTAATTTTAGATAGCCAGGCAATAGATTTAAATTATCACTCCAACAGAAAACAATATCTTACATTTGTTTTTAAAGAAAAAAAGAGATGAGGTGGGGGGGAGAAGAAAGAGAAAGAGAGAAGAAAGACAGAGAGAAAGTAAGAAAAAAGGAAGGAAGGAAGGAAGGAAGGAAGGAAGGAAGGAAGGAAGGAAGGAAGGAAAAAGAAAGAAGAGGAAGGAAGGAATTAACTATTTAGGCATTTTTTAAAAAAAAAACATGCTACCTACCTTTGGATAACACTGGCACATGCTCCATATGATGCCCACAGCAATGACCAAAACTCCCAGGGTGCAGAAGGTAATATAGATTTGGGGTTTCTCCACACTCATTATGAACATGCCGATCATGACCAAAAAGAATCCCAGGACAATAAGTCCATAGCGAAATGTTTTTTCTTCAGCCATTGTAACCTCTACCATTCAGAAAGCAAAATTGACATCAAGCTAATCTAATGTAGACAGATTCATTCATAAAAGGAGGTTGAACTGGAATCTGGAAATGGGAGGGTGGGAGGGAGGGAGGCAATTCAAGGTAGCCTTTCACCTGTCCATGACCCAGACAATCCACAGGTACCTCTTCCAGAGGCAGCAAGGGGACAAGTGTCAGTCCACCTTCAGACTAGTCCTGCCCTGATCTCAGCCAGCCAGTTTTAAATGGGTTTGTAATGAATGCAAACAAGATATTTAAATTCATATTTTACTAACTCTGCCTGGGGGGAACTTTACTATAACCTTCCTCCTAGCTACAGACAGCGCAAAAGCTGCCAATGATTTGCCAAGGGAGTGTGGAGAGGAAGTTAGAGGTTCTAGGCTCCAATCAGAGTCGAAGCGAAGGGTCTGACTGGTGAATGGTGAATTAGGGAGCAGGTAGACAGACAAGGGAGTGCTTTTTGTACCATGCTTCAATACTTTACTCAAATTAAAAATATAGTTTCTCTCAAGTAATACGTCTTTCTTTGTGTGTATGTAATGAACCTGGTTTATTTATTGAAAACATTTCTTAAACATCCTTTGTCCGGGGATTATAATTTCATATGGCGTAGCAAATGCAGCATGGTGTATAAAATTGGCAGAAACAACATATAAAATGGGTATAAAAATATAAAACACCAAAGCAGTGAATTATTTTAAAAACACACAATACGAGCAATGAGTAAAATTATGTATAAAATTAAATTATGTTACTCCAGTGACTAATATACAAAAATATGAATAAAACCATTGATGCAAGCTAATAAATGAAGTATTCTGGAAATTTTTCAAGCTTTGGAGAATGAAATTGTCATATTAAGAAAGGCAAATGACAAGAAAGTTTGGTGAATTATTTACTTTCTTAATTAGTGAGAAGAGTCATATTTAGATGGGAATCCTCAGCTATAGCCATGCTCTTTTCCCAGGAAAAAAAAATACTCAACCGAACTGCACTACAGCAATGTGAATAAATATGATTGATATGTTTAATATAATTATAATCATCCCTCAGTTTCCACATTCCTTCATTAAATATTATTTTTTAAAACTCCAGTCTCAATAATGGTAAAGGTTCCCTTCGCACATGTGTGCTAGTCATTCCTGACTCTAGGGGGCAGTGCACATCTCCATTTCAAAGCCAAAGAGCCAGCGCTGTCCAAAGACGTTTCCGTGGTCATGTGGCCATCATGACGAAACACTGAAGGCACCCAGAACGCTGTTAACCTTCCCTATTTTTCTACTTGCATCTTTTACATGCTTTTGAACTGCTAGGTTGGCAGAAGCTGGGACAAGTATCAGGAGCTCACTCCTGCACGGTGCTAGGGATTCAAACTGCCGAACTGCCGACCTTTCTGATTTACAAGCTCAGAGTCTTAGCCACTGAGCCACCGCATCCCATCCAGTCTCAACAGTTACAATCTAAATTGTAATCCAAGAGTATATTTTCCCATTATCCCAAACACGCTTAGTCTTCTGGGTTTACTCTTAGTTCATCTGAAGATTTTCCATAATTAATCTTTTTTCAGAAGGATCTTCAAACATTTCATCCTGAAACTGTCATGCCATCATTCAGCCTTTCTTTTCCCAACTGCTAGTGAAACCACAATTTGTATTATATATATTTTAATGTACTAATCAAGCTTGTGGTTACAGCAAGTGTCCTTTTTTCTGGTCTTCTTTACTCTAATGGATAATAATATTTCAATCATCGCACTTTATTTTCTTCCCTATCACTGAAGTCCTTCATTTCAGATTTATAGTAGAGACACCAATATTTTGGGAGTAGGTTGCCATCTAGTGGGACTTTCAACACGCAAGTAGAAAAGTAACTCACTGGAAATTTGCTTGTTGGTGCTTGATTTTGATGTCAGTTTGTTTCTTTATGAAGAAAGGGTAATTTAGGATTCTAAATATTTTCCCCCAGACCTATTTTATTCTCATTTTTCTTGCATTTTGCACAGAACCTTTTTTTCAATTACTTAGCCAGCAGTCAAATTTGACCAAACCTGGATCCATCTCAGTTTACTATTCAAAATTTGGTACCTAGAATGGTGGATTTAATTGGTACTGTAGGAAGTTAGCACCCATCCCGCTCCTAGAAGAATGAAATATTCTAGGAAATATTAAAAAGGCAGAATATTATACTTCCCTGGATGAGAAAAGGAGAAACATGTTTTAAAGACAAATCAGCTCCCTGCCTGCCCCCCTTCAGTTCCAGGGTGATGGAATTAAGACATGACACTCAGGACATGATAGGATTAGTCCTCTACCCATCTCACCACATGGCACCTGTCCAGCAAGGCTCAACCAAGCCTGGGACTCAGGACAGCCTACAGAGTTGCCCCTGCATGGCCCCATGGGAGTCTGACAGCCAATGGGATATATTTCTTACACAGGAACAGGAAGCTCTAAGGTAGGGCCCAACAGAGGGTATAAATCTCTCTCCCCCTCTCTCTCTCCCTCCCTCCCTCCCTCATGTGCTTTTTTGCCCAAGACCTCAAACCATGTGGTCCTGTCCACCATTAAAATCTTCTTTCCAAGCAACTTCCAGTGTCTTTTTCCTCACTTGGAACTGAACCCAGATGGACATTTCTTCCAAGATTACCTTGTCCCCAGTGGAAATATTTTCTTCTCAAACAAGAAGAGCTTGAATCTCTATTTCTTGAGAGATAATTAGCATCTAAGTGAGATTGAACTCCAAAGAGAAACCATGGAGATCCTAATGAATATTCATTGGATTCAGTCCCACCTTGACTGGCTATCCCATTCATGAGAAGGATCCTTCTATTTATATCAAAGATGCTAGGATACAACAAGGATTCCATGTTGGAAGAATCAGGCTGGCAATCATCATTTATACCTTTTTTCTACTGCCTATACTGAAGCACCTCAGAATGCATCTGAATATTCCTGAAAGCAGAACCTGACCTGGGTACAGGTAGTTCTCAACTTACAACAGTTCATTGGTGACCATTCAAAGTTACAATGGCATTTTAAAAAGTGACTTAAGGCCATTTTTCACACTTATGACGGTTGCAGCATTCCAAGGTCATATGATCAAAATTCAGAGGCTTGGCAACTAGTTCATATTTATGACGGTTGCAATGTCCCGGAGTCACGTGATCCCCTTTTGTGACTTTCTTACAAAATCAATGGGGAAGCAATCATGTTACAACTGCAGTGATTCACTTAACAACTGTGAAAAGAAGATCATAAAATGGGGCAAAATTCACTTAACAAATGTTTCCCTTAGCAACAGAAATGTTGGGCTCAGTTGTGGTCATAAATTTAGGACTATCTGTCATAATTAATGAAATGGTTTATAGAGTCAGTTCTATCAGGCAAAGAATCAAAGACCACATGCTTTGTGTACTTGTGCATGAGAAATGAAATAGAAAAAAAGCTCAAATTAAAACTCCTAGGCTAGAATAGGGGTGTTAAACTCAAGGTCCAGGAACTGGAGCCGGCCCATGGGGTGCTTAGATCTGCCTCATTGGGGGGAGGGGGGCTGGAAACAGTGAAGGACTGACCCGTGGTGCCTCTGGCAGAGGGTTGCAGGAGGCCGTTGCAGCTGAAAACAGACCCCGGGAGTCCATTTTCGCCATAGGCGCCCCCGACATGAGTGATGTTGAGCTGGCCATGCCTACCCTGGCCACGCCCACTCCGGACCCCTGGGGTCAAACACAATCCTGATTCCGCCCTCTATGAAATCGAGTTTGACACCCCTGGACTAGAAGAAGGCAGAATTATAGACCAAGAGGGAACTCACAGTGAATCCTTAACTTTCTATGAACAATCTACTATCCAATTATGGTCAGTGGATTATGAATTGCTGAAGAATCCATGCCTTTGGAGTTGGACCTCTTAGTATATCCAGAAGGATGCCCAGCCATCCAAAGCAGCTTTTGAAGAGTCACAAGGAGTTTCAGGAAAAAGGAGAACCAAAAATGTTCTCCTGCATACTTTCTGTAGCATAACAATGAACAGCCCATTAATTATCCCCCTTTATCCACTCCCCTGATATTGTGCCATGAAAATTGGATAATAAAATGGTCAAATGTTAGCTGTGCAGTTATGGGACATCTATCAGGTTTTCAGGAGAATTTTAAGAAGGATTGTGGGAATGGCAGTTAAAGAGGCAAAAGAACAATTAAAGAGGCAAAAGAAAATTAACCAAGCACTAATCTTGTCCCTAATTTAATGAAAAGGATTAGGGGATGACATGTTAGCAGTGTTCCAATATCTCAGGGGTTGCCCCAAAGAAGAGGGAATCAAGCTATTCTGCAAAACACCTGTGGATAGGACAAGAAGCAATGGAGGGGCCAGTCAGAGGTGGCATTTACTGGTTCCCTGAACTACTCAAAATTTCTACCGGTTCTCCAGAACTGGTCAGTACTTGCTGAATACCACCTCAGACCTATATCCATAAAAGAATAGAGGTACCCTTCCAATAGGATGGTGTTGTAGCCAGTCGGCAGCCGGCCCCTCCAGCAGCTAAATCAGAAAAGGTATGGGAGTCAGGGTCAGCATCAAAGCAACCTGGGGCTCCAAGGGGAGAGAGAGAGAGAGAGAGAGAGAGAGAGAGAGAGAGAGAGAGGCAAAGCCTGGGCCATCTGTCAGCCCTCAGATGGAGAGTCGACAGCTCCCAGGTCTGGAGGTGGTGGATGAAGAAGAAGAGGAACATCTGGGTCCAGTGCCTGATGCGTGATGGCACAGAAGGCAAAGAAGCCACCGCTGCTAACGAGGTCCCACCCTAACTCTGGGGATAAAAGGCAGGAGGCGGAGTTGAATAGGTATGGCAGGCAACTATTCATGTTAGCCTGCGAGATAAACTTTTTTCCAGGGCTGCCGGCATTCCTAATAAAGGAATCTTTTGAGTTCATGTCAGTGGGTTTTTCATGTTTGGGGAGCTGGGTCAGGACAGATGGATTCCTTGTATTCAGCATTGGTACTTTCCAGCAATGTAGAGCCAAAAGTCACTTTTATCTACAATCATTGCAGTATCAATTGGAAGTGATTGCATTGCATAGTATTACATTGCATTGAATTGCACTGTTTTGCAATGCATTACGTTGCACTCCAATTACTGTCTAATTTATTTTGTTTACTTATTAAATTTATTGATAGTAATGTAGTCCAATACAGTTGAGAGATGTCAAACTGAGGTTCTAATACACAAGATCTCCTTAAAAAGCCATGGATTTGCAGCATAGCTAAACCTAATTAACATGTATATTGGAAAT